CTGTTGCACAGAAGAAGTTGTTACAAGGAAGCTGTCATGGAGAAGATGTGTGTCAACTTGTTTTGTGCAGTTTTACATCATCTGTGCTACATCTGTTTATGATAAAAAGATCTGTTTACCCATGTATTGTTTTGTTGTTTATCATAGAACTAGTCCATATTGCGTAGTTTATACATGAAAATAAAAATTAGATTCAGAATCCCCAAAAACTCATAAGTTCGAATATTACATGCTAAAAACTAACATTTCACTAAACAATGAGTAACACTATAAGAAAAATTAAAAATACTGACAGCTTGTTGATTCTCATGCACCTAACCTACCCAAACAACAATTTTGCCAATCGAGAAATTTGATAATACCGACAGCCAACTATTTTTTTTTTTTACTATCTATAAAAACTACAATGATATTAAAGGGTGTTCATGAATCCCCATAAGCTCATTTAGCATGCATTTTAAGGACAAAGAGATTTATTGCATCTTGGACCTCCCCTTTCATAGGATCTAGGGCAATATGAGTAAAATTCAAACAATAAAATGAAATGTTCCTTTACCAAACACACCACAACATCCAAATCCATTCCTTCCATCATAAACAACAAAATGCAATTTTCCAGAGAATGTTGAATAAAAAATGAAAGGGACATTTACATACATAACAACCAAACTCCTAAATATCAAAATTCATGATAAAAATTCAACCCATATTTTTCATTTTTATCAAATTCTCAATGGTTTAATTTTCGCACGTCTAAATAAATTAGTTAGGTTTATGAGCTAACTAAAAATTGATATATTTTGGGTGCAATGTATATAATTATCTTGAAAACAGAAAGGAAAATCATATGGGTTTTTGCACAAACCACAAACCACATAGAACAAAGCCATCGAGAAGCATTATTTCGAGTGCTATGTATGTAATAATTCCAAAAAAAAAAATGAAAGCTCATATCACAGATCGAACAGGGAAAAACTACCGGGACATAGATAAAAAGTTGTGCTAGGGTGCTATGTATGTAATTATCCCAAAAAGAAAGAAAATTAGGTGGATTTCAGCACAAATCACAAACCAAATAGAGCAAAGTTATTGAGAATAGAGAAATGGTAGAAGATATTGAAGGACGAATGTGATCAAAGGAACCAAACACAGAGTTTACCGATTTCCCTCACCACATGTGTCGAATAACGAAGAAAAGAAACTGAAGAGAAAAAAACTTAGGCGGCTTGAATAAAGCAGCGAATGCGGGGTTGACGTCAAAGCGGGGGACACAGGGGTAATAGTGAAACAAAGCAGCAAAAGCAGGGTCCCAGGCGCGTCAAAACTTATTGGGCACGTTTAAAACAAATGAAATTTCATTTTGAACTTCTTTGGGGGTTTAGCTCCTGATACTTGCCACGAGAAGGCATTTCTCCGACTGCCTTGGCGCCTCAGTTTGCATCAGTTTGTTTTTGTCCTTGGGGGAGGATCCGACGCTATCCTTATATAATCTATCATGGGGCTTCTCCTACAGGTGGATTGTTCTTCTCTCGTTGTTTTTCGGTGGTTCCCTCTAAGAGGGGTTGAGTGCCTCTTCTTGGGTCGGTCCTCCTTCTAGAAATGGGGTCATCGCTACGGCAGCAACCTCCTTGAGCACCTCTGCGAACTATCCTGGCATCCAATTGGTGCTCTGGGCCTTTAAGTCTTGTAGGCCTTACTGGAAGAATTCTTCTGTGAACTCTCTGGTGCTTGTTGCTTCTGCCACGTTCCTTTGGCTAGATTCTCCCTGTTGTTGTTGCTGAGCTCCTCTTCTTATTGATGACATGTTTCCATACTCAGAACCTTAAAGAAAGTTGAATCCCAAAGCATCCGGAGAACACACCCTAGGTATAGAGCTTTAAGAGAGAGAGGTAGAGGATGAGAGAGCACCGTAGAGAGCAGTAAAGAGAGTGTAACCCTTATTTATATCATAGACCCCCTATTTATAGTCATAGGTCCTGACATTACAAAAGCACATATTAGTCTCCTCACTATTGACTTTTCAAAGGTACTTTTTAGTAATTACAGAGTTATTCACATAAAATATGGTCTTCAGGCTGGTTAGATTGATAAGAGTTTACTGATTGTCCGATAAGCCTTGAATCTATCAATATTTAATCCAAAAGGATGCGTCTTGTTAATCTTCTTAAGGGTTGATCGCTAACCTGAGAGAATTCTCCTGGCACGTTCCGCCGATCGCCTGAACATGATGCCTCTCTCGCCATCGTCCAACCCGAAACGGTCGTCAACAGCTACGTTCGATGGATCGTTTCTTCCTTCTGAGTCGTTTATCTATCTTGAGATTCATGCTACAATATCTGATATATATATATATGTGTGTGTGTGTGTGTGTGTGTGTGTGTGTGTGTGTGTGTGTGTGTGTGTGTGTGTGTGTGTGTGTGTGTGTGTGTGTGTGTGTGTGTGTGTGTGTGTGTGTGTGTGTGTGTGTGTGTGTGTGTGTGACTCTTTCCATCAAAATAAAGGAATGAATTTTATATATCAGCAATAGTTCATTAGACAAGAAAGGTTCCTACTTGTGTAATTTACTTATAATTCAACTTACACGATCAACTAGATGGATTTTGATGCATTACGTTTGGACACTAATAGCAATTGGATCAAATTAATTAAGTCAGGTTAAGAGTCAATTTAAACCAACTATAAATTAAAATTGAAATACACTACGGTTGCTAAAAGCTTAGGCCAACCAAAATTGGATCTTGAATAAGCAGCCCATAAATTAGCTTTAACTTTATGGCCGGCACTAAATCAGTAACTGAACAATGTGATTCATAAATGCCCCCACTACTCTAGATTAGGGGTGTATGGGATTCAAACCAACTCACGTGCCGGCTCAGGCTCGGCCCAATAAGTGGCTTGTGAGCTGAGCTTGATGAACTAAGTAACAAAGTTCAAACACGCCCTGACTAGACGTGTTAGCTTGTAAGCCGATTAATTAAAAAATAATTAATAAAAAAATATTCTTAAAATATATTGAAATTCAAGAATTTATTTACAAACTAAAAGTATTTAAAAAATTATATTTTTTCATTTTATATCAAATAATTTTTTTTAATGTTCTCTTAAATGCTCATTTTATTTTTCATTTCATTATAAAAATAGCTTAAATTTTTTCTTTCTTTCATACTAAATAGGTCTGCTGGTTTGAACTCGTAGAATTAAACTTGAGCACGAGCTCAAAGTTGATTAATTAATCAAGCTCAAGTTCAAGTTAAGAGTGACACAATCTTGACTAATTTATTTACATTACGAGTCTAGATTATTCTTCCATCAAACTCATAACTTATCAGTATTACTTGTGAGATGACTAGAAGTTATTGTTAGATTTAGGGGTAATTTCACAAATTGGCGTAGCCAAAAGCTTAACCTCGACTTCTTCAGGTTGCAACGACTAGGGTGCAAGCGGGGTGCTGGCTTGCTCTGAATACGAATGTTTAGTGACAGTCTCTCCGGAGTTATTCACTGGAGCTCACCAGGGGAAGAGGTTAAGAATGGTGAAGAGTTTGCCTCGAGCTCTAGAACGTGAGGAGAGTGGGAATTGTGTGTTAGATTTGAATGGCATTACAAAGCCTAGTTAACATTTGTGACAAATGGCATAGAGGTGTCGCGCATAGATTAAACAATGAAAATTTAAACATTAATTACGACATTAAAAGATGTGAAGTCTAATTTCATCAGCTATTTCGAAAATTCAGCTTTAATTTTTAATTTTTTCAGTATCAATTTAATATTTATTCATAGTTAATTTTCTAATATTATTACTACATAACTCAATTTATATTTGATTTTCTTGACAATGACCTTATTGAACCAAACATATTTGAAAATGAGATGAGAGATAATGAGAGATGAGGAGTGTCGTTGTAAGTAAAAGGAAAAATTGTTAGTGATTGCAGTGGAGTGCTTAATCATCTTCAAAAAAAATTAAGTGTAGTCTTCATCTTTGTATCCTTGTACCCTTGTAGTAGGTTACATTTTCTCATACAAAATTTTTTATATTGGCATATATCATATAAAAAAGCATTCATTTTTATTTTTTAGTAGTCAATTTAATCATTTTCAATATATATATAGATACGTAAATCCGTGTGCTGCGTATGTAATTTTCCATAAAAAAATAGAATAAAAAATGTCATATTTGAATTAGAACGATTATTCTGTGCGGACAGCGCACGTCAAAATTATTTTTTGTAAAAAAAAAAATTAAAATTAAGGCCCACTAAGATACACTTTTTGTAAATAAAATGTTTTTATTAGTTTACCTCAGGTGGTGAACATAAGCAAAAATTTTTCTTTTAATTGACGCCTCCTGCTCACATTTGGTTATGCGTCAAAGCCGATATCAATCATTGGCCAAGTCAAATCCGAGAAGAGAAGTCAAAGTCTTCCCAAAATCCGAGTCTCCCGCTGGCAGGTCAGCAAATCCCAAAATAAATGAACTCAGCTTTAAGTGAAAAAAAAAAAAATTAGCAGATAATTGAGCAAATGGTGAATTGATCAGATTAATGTGCCGTCATCTTGATTATGGCGAAGACAATTTCAATAAAACCGGCCGACAGCATATATAAATATATAATATATAATTTTTTTTAACTTATTTAATGAAACAGTCAACCTAATTATATCTGATATAATAAAATTTAAATATATCAAAATATACAAATATATATAAAAAAGCCATAAATTTTATGATGTGAGTTATACATTATATAATTGTATTAAATCAAATATATTTGAATGAGCTTGAAAATACCCAGCATTGATTTTCTCTTAAGTGAAACCTTTTTTTTTTTTTTTTGGCCAATTTACAAACAGCTTTTCTTCTAAATTTTAATTTATATTAAACAAAATATTAATACATTTTAAATACAGATGAAATTATTTATGAGATCAATAAATTTTAATTCCATTGAAATAAAAATAACCGTTACTCAGCAAGCTGCCATACCGACTACCGCGTTCAAACTTCAAAATCGCCCAAATTCCAAATAAAAATTTGGCCTTTCTTCCTCCTCTTCCTTCCTTCTTGCTAAACGTTAACCAAAACCCCAGCAAATCAATGGCATCCCAAGCCACTAGAATCCCTCCTTCACTCCCAAAACCCCACCGGAAACCACTCCGCCCCAAAAATTTCACGGCGAACCTCGCCACCCCGGAAATAAATTCTAAGAAGCCAAATCTGGCGATCGTGGAACGAGCCGAGAAGGAGAACCTTGAAATCTCAGGTTTTGATGAGGAAATGAACCTTTTTGTGGAGGATGCTTCGCTTTCGGAGGAGCTTGAGGGGGCGCGGCTGAGGACGGAGAGGCTCCGGTTGGATAGGGAGAGGGGGGAGACGAAGATAAGAGAGATGGAGGCAGCATTCGAGAGGTGGATGATAGGAGCGGAGAGGAGATTGCATGACATCTTGGTCGCAGAGATGGATATCCGGCGACTGGTCCGTGCTAAAGAGCACCGGGCTTCTTGCTTGGTAAAATCTACCTCTTAGCCCTAACTTTTTCCTCCTTCGGTTATTAATATGATTTAGCCGTGGATGTCGCTTAAAGCCATCCACCAAAAAAATAAAAAATGAACATTGAATTCAATGCTCCGTCAAATTCAATTGTACCGTCTCTGATTTCAATTGTAAGTTGGATTTAATTTGTGTCGCTCGCGAACTCCACTGTAGAAGATAAATGATCTGAATTTTCATAAATCTTACTTAAGGTAAATCAAAATTGCAGCCAAACACCACCTTTGTATTTTTGTTTTAGGATTCATATTTTTTTTTAGGAATGGGTGAATTTGCAGTAAAATATTGAATTATAATTTAAACACGAGTTATGTATGGACGACGGACGTGATACACTGAAGATGCGTTTATTTTTGTTAAGGACAACGTAAGCAAATTTTTTTCCGGGAGAGGATGGGAATGTTTGACAATTTAGAAGAAATTTTGGTCAAATTTTGCAGATGTCTTTAAAGGATGATTATTTTATTCAAATTGTTTTTAGGTGCAAAAAAGAAATCATTACTTGTGGCAAATTTGAAGGTGTATTAAATAGTGTGATATCATTGTTGATTTCCAACTACACTCAACCAAATGATAGAACTAATGTTTTCATTGTTTAAAAAAAATGAATTCTAATTTCAAGCAATCAAATGAGCCTATTGTTGGATTTCATTAATGGTTTATGTGCTGCCAAATTTCAGAAATCATCAGCTTTTATGTCTCTCAGAGCAAGGGAGGAGAAGAAAAGATGGCAAGTTGCTCAATTGCAGGCAAGTGTTATATTCAATTCTTCCTTTTAGTTTATTTAATTTTATTTATTTATGTTATCTTATTCTTTTTTTATGTGAACTACTTTCCTCTGCTTATTTCTTGAAATATGTGTGTCAAGTCAAATCTCATAACTTGAAATTTTCATGCCATGAAGTATAAAAATCCTTCGTATCATGCTGTAGGCATTTAAATTAAGTATTCACATGGTACTAAATTGAGATTATTAGGAGCTCTCTTCCGA